AATGCGCATATGCTCAATCGGTGGGAACCAGAGAGAGGAGGACGAGGTTTGCCGCTTATGGGAATGAATATCACTCAGAAGAAGCGACAGGGACGCGTTGCCTCAGTCTTAAATTTGTAGGATTGTAAAATGTCAGGGAGCACAACCGAATGTAAGTTAGCGTCCAGTGAAGAGGGAATGCAACAGAAAGCACAGGACTGAAATAAATGGGTCGGTAAAACAGGTTCCATTAAAGAGAATTGGAAAAGCCACCGACCTTCTTCATGTGATGATTCGCTCTTGTTAGATAAACGAATGATGAATAATGCCCATTGAGTAATTAATGCAGGGAAATAGAGCGTTGCGCCGGAATAGGTAGAGAGTATGGCGAGCAAAGCTCAAAGGATGAGGAGCACAGGGTGTTTGGACTACAGAGCCTAAACCGTTTATGTCTGAGATGTCTGGAAGCAATCAGAAAGGAAGCTGGGCAGACGAGGATAGATTAGGGCCAAGCCCTAAAAGTTCTCCGTCTACTTGAAAACGGTATGTAAACAGAGAGCGCGAGAAGAAAAGAATGAGGTCCGGAAGGAAAGGTATCTATTGGGGAGAAGAGGAGAGGCGTACAATGGTCTCTAGGTGTTGTGAACAGACTATTGGAGCTGTCGATGATTCATGGTGAATGGCCCCAGCAGTCAGAAAGGGAGACCGTTAATACGAGACTAGAATGTCGGCTCATAGAGAGAAAGCAATATTATTATCGCCAGAAAGTTAACAGAGAGAGTCGGCAGGAATAGATATGTTAGGCTTGTAAGGAGAATAGAATAAGAAAGAAAAAGCACGACCAGTAATGCTCGTGAGCTGAGTGTCACAGAGCAGTACGTCGGCAGAACCTAGATCAGTTAGAGCTCAGACGTCCGAGAGGGGTCAGAAAGCAAGAGACCGTTTGGACGAGACCAGGTAAGTCAGCAAGGTGAAACTAGACCGCCAAATAAACGTGGGAATAAGAGTAGTGAATGTCCTAAAAAATTTCGGGACAACAGAGGTTATATAAAAAGCCAGTTTGCATGTCGAACGAAGCTCCCAGGCTGCTTGGCAAGGTGTGTTATGACTGTGAACCTAGCACGCTTGAGGCTCGGATATTTGGAAACAGTCCGAAAGTAGGAGACTGCTCAGACGAGGCTAGTGTACAGCCAGGCTCGAAGAGTTGTCCGTCCAATGGATAAAGGAGTGCAAACAGGGGGCGCGAAAAGGAAAGAAGGTGGTCGGGGAGGAGGAGAATATTAAGGAGAAATGGAATGGCCTACAAAAACTTCGAGATTTTAAGCATAGACCTGTGGACCTGCTGATAGTTCTAAAGTATGGGCTCAGTAGTCGGAAGGCAGGAGACCATGGTGATGAGAGGATATCTGCTCATGGAGAGAAAGCAGTAATATAAACGTCGGAATGCTAACAGAGCGTCAACAGAACAGAAGTGCTAAGGATAAAAAGGGATATATTAATGCTGAATCATGGGCAGCAGTAAGCTGGAGGCGGGGGAGAGGGAGCGTTGCTTTTGCAGAGACTAGAAAATTTAGATCTTAGAAGTCCGATGGGCGCAAGTTTAGAGGTACTAACTTCGTTGGAGATTACTTCCTACATTACATTGTGTTAAGTCAAGCTACCCCATTCCTGCACTTATCAAAATTGAATGGCTCACGGCGTTCACAGTCTTTGGCCTATCTATTATTCAGGGACAAACTATTAAGCGACAGGTTTCATGTGCTTGACATACAGCTGCGGTGCCCTAACTGCTTGCAGGGTACTCCACTAGCCCGAGGATACAAGCAATATCAGGGAACGAGCGCTGCCCTACATCCTACTTGATTCACACAAATAATTTGGAGAAGGCCGGATGCGGGCCATGTGAAGAATCACAGTATTACTCCAGCATAGATTGTACATTTACTATGGTGCTAAACATACTAATAGCTTCTTTGCTACAGCGCACTTTGAATTTTGCTCACACCTACGGTTTAGTTTACCCATCTAACATTAGATTTACAAAAGACGACCCGATGGCGAGCGAGGTCTAGTCAGTGAACGAAATGGCGTTGGACATCAATTGATGTCACTTTCATGGCAGTGGTGGTCTCATTTATTTTCAGTCCGCTAAGCTAGTTTACTTGTGGCTTACAAGCTTTCTATAAACATCTTTACAACGTACCACCTGAAGTAATGTATTTGCCTATCGTAAATATAAGTACATTTTCTTACACTATGGTTTGGGGAAGCGAACTTTTAGGAGACATCGTAAAAGCAAAATGTATATTCGTATAATAAGCTTGTTGCCTTACTCAATGAACGATGAGTTACCGGGAGTAAAAGACAATGGTTTGCTAACCACCTTACAAATTTTGGGGTGGATGTCACAGTTTACCATCGCACGAATTTCTCATAATTTCTCCAACATGTGTACGTGTAATACAATCGTCGAGGTTCGTGTCATACCACAAAAGGCCAGATCTACTTAGCTGGTTAAGAAGCGGTTTGAAGACCCATAAGTTAAGCCATTCTACTGGCTTTCTACTAGCCTGCTGAGAATCATGAAAACTGCACAAAATGTCTGGTATAAATAAAATAAACATAATCTGTTAACGAAAGCTTGTCTATTGTGCCATTGTTCGACTTCTACTCCGTTCCTTGTGCTACCTTCTGAGCTTCAGATGTACGTTTACAAGTCTACAGCCCGGTTTTAACAGGCCAAAGGTAAGAAATAAGTAGCACAAGGCATGCCTGCTTACTGCACTACCAAACAAACGTTGGCTTGCTATGGAATGCTACTTCACTTTAAGAAAATAAGTGTTGAACATCCGCTGAGCCAAACCGCTGCTGCCAATACCACAAATATATTCATTAGCTCTCCCCATTTTTGCTTACAGTTCGGGTCATGCAACAGATAAACAGAAGTGTGGGCATTTTGTAACTGCGAATTAAACAGCTGCACACATGCAAATCCTACTGTCAGCACAATGCTTCTGATGCAGCGAATTCTGCGTAGGTGTGTTGCTATGACGTAAACGGCCGAGTGAAAACACGAACTGTCTTCAATACGTTAGGTGAAAAGAGAAGGTAATCAGGCAACACCTGTTCGGCCCAACCGCGTTTCAGAAGATACCGCAACACGCCTTACTTGTGCTGGCGTATGACCACAAGTAAGAGTACGTTAGAGTCTCACTTATAAGGCATTAGAACATGAGTGAAGACGGTATTGCGTACCTATAAACTAATAGATGTTACTGTCACTGCAGGCAGGCCCACACCACATGTAGCCTCCTCACTCCTGTCACTCTTCTTCGGACGGTGGTTGATATGACTAAGACGGAATGGTCGCAGTTCAGTGGTTTACAGGCGTTTGTAGTACTTGACTTAGACGAGGTATGTTATTGCCATTGAACCCATAATATATCTGCCGACGACGGATACTGTCACTTTAATTGAGAAGGACTAGAATTGCCATTATATATACATATCATATAGGTATTTTTATTGTGTGGCTAGGGACCGTGAATAAAGACAATACGTAAAAAATGAAAACTGTCGCATGCGCTGCACAACCGCCACTTCCTTCTCCGTTTGGGTAGGATATAAACCAAATATTAACAAAGATTCAGGGGAAAACCGTTGTCTGTACGGCGGTGTTAAAGCCTTTGTAGAGAAAATCATTGGGTAGAATTACAAAGACGTGTGGTGCTTTTGAAGAAGCATACTTTGAGCTGTACCTGCAGAACAAACTACGAGATTCCAACCGAAAGCAGCAAATACCACACCGAAAGCTCGGTGCGACCAAAAGTCCTTCCAAAAGGAAAAAGTTAACAGCTTATTGTCATCCAACACTATTTTCGTGCAGCAGGGCAGTCAGTGATAATAACTGCTGTTTTGGAGAAGCAGCAGACAAAATTGTGGCGTAAGTTGAGCGTACTTCGTATGTCTTAGGGGTAAAAGCGCACTGCTCTGGATTTCGGGTTCGCCGGTTGTTGGTGCGCGGAGTAGGCTGCTGCTGCGCTCCAGAAGTACTGTGGGAAACTAAGAGATTGCAGGTAGCCGTACGAGGAAGCCAAGACGCTCAGTACGAACGCATATGGACGAAAAACGTATTGCGATCGCGCTGTCAAGTCAATACGGGAAATGTTCGCAATAAGCGTCAGCAACCAAGCGCAACAGGAAGTGTCCGCAGCCAAGGTCACGTTGTCAGGAACAGCGCCGTTTGCGAAATAGGTTAAAGCAACAGTCATGTCACTTTATAGAAGCAAGAAAGGCGGAGCTTGCATCTCGCAACATCGTATATACGGTAATCCGATATCCAACATTACGACAGACGTTGAGAAATTAAACGAGCTTTACTTGCGCTAATGATTCTTAAGCTTAACCAAGCGACCCACTTTATTAGTATAACATTGAAAAATCTAAAATATTACAGACACAATAAATAGTGTGTTTGTACATGGCGCAGTTCATCTTTACACGCAACGGTAGTTATTACACTTAAAAAGGAGGATTAAAAATAAAAGAAAATTAATGTTAAAATACAGTTTTGGTTTTTCGTTACTTGCAACGTGCATTGTTATATTTATCCATTATTGAATTCACTCGCGAACTCACGTTGACGCGCATCTTTTCGAACGACTGCTCGCGGCGTGCGGGCGCAAGCTAAATTACGGTAACCGCTAACAAATAATGCTTAGGCTGTGAATAGCCCATCATAGATGCGAGTACATTTATAGGCGTCTGAGGAACGCATTGCAGTAAAAAGTTGAATATCACACAAATACTTAATATGTATTTGCTTATGTTTGCTTTGACTAACATGAACTGTAAATTTAACTATTTATAATATATAAATGCATAACCTTTATGAAATAGCATAAATTAAAATATAAGCTGTTTTCTAATAATAATTGTCAACTACTTTTGCTAAGATCATGTGCACGTTAGTTTGAATGATTAAGTAATTGAAAGATAGACTGCAACGTTAGTTTTATTTTTTGCAAAGTACATCTGGAACCGTTTATAACCTTCATTGCTTCATTTTTACATAGATTAGTGCATAACTATCGGGACAATAACGCCCAAATGTATAATCTGGGTTTTTAAATTCCAGCACAGCTTTGCGCTTCCGTACGGTAGCGCATTACCGCATTAGTCGTTTATCGGTGACCGAACTGAAGCACTGCTCACTGAGTGAATCCACTCGTACTGCTTCTCTGTTGAGGAAATGTTGTCTACAAATTATGTTACGTCAGTTTGTTCCAGGACAAAGGCGTCTTTTTGGAAACTTTTCTTGCCTAGTTTGAACCAATTTGGCTTCAACTACTCCACTCAAACTGATGACATTCCATTTCATGCAATGGTGGCAGGATTTTACAGCAAAGCATCGTCCCTTCTCGAAGACAAGCTGATCAGTGACATAAAAGCCAGAATTCCTGATCATGAGAAGGTCAAAATTGTGAAAGGAACTCTTGGCTTGCTGGAACCATGTGCTCATGTGTTTGAAGTTAATTTTCCGTATAAGCGAGATAATGGAAACTTTGAAATGGTACGGGGTTTTCGAGCGCAACACAGTGTGCACCGTAGACCAACTAAGGGCGGTATTCGTTACAGCCTGGATGTAAACCGTGGTGAGGTGATGGCTCTGGCAGCTATTATGACTTACAAATGTGCCGTGGTCGATGTGCCATTTGGTGGTGCGAAAGCTGGTCTGTGTATTGATCCTCGATCCTGTTCTGTCAGTGAGCTAGAAAGGATTACTCGTCGCTTTGCTTTGGAATTAAGTAAACACGGCTTCTTAGGTTTGTGACACTTTCGGATCCACTAATTTGCAGGACCTGGCACGGATGTTCCGGCCCCCGATATGGGTACGGGTGAGCGAGAAATGAGTTGGATTGCGGATACCTACGCTACTACTTTGGGTAAGCCATATAAATTATCTAGTCAACTCCCTTGTTTCTGATATATCCTGGCATTTGACCATCAAGTGGCTCCGATTGTGGTGTACTTGTCTCTCCGTTGACATATTTCCATTTAGACTTTCCTGTCTTTTCACTACTATTACAGTTATTGCGAGGTTGAAGGTAGTTATGACACCCTTGCAGTGTTTCGTCACCTTTATCCGTTACTATTTTGACTACATGTTTAGGCCGCTTTCCCTGTTATATTACGCTTTTTAGTCATGTTTTTTTGGCTGAACATGTAGGCTTTAGGAATGAAATACGCATGTGCACCGAATAAGCATTATCGACGTATCTACCGGTTTCAAATAATGGTCAGGTTAGGTCCGTCTCCATGAACGACGCCCTCGCCTAACGAGCGTCCCGTTTCATGTGCTGGTAAGCGTGTCAAGGCCCCCGGCAATTTACCATCCAAACTTCTAGGCTTCTGCAGCGAAAAATGAGTTCATTGAGTTGTAGAGAGCAGGAGGGAAATCCCTTGTCAGCCCCATCGATCCCGTATCATACTGGGTTTGATGCGTGTCGTTGCGTTAGGACGTTCCTCGAGGGTTCGTCGTAATTGCAGTGACAGCCGCAAGATTCCAGCATTCTCAGCGAATGTTTGTCTAGCAGCAGCTTGAAACTTTCCTCGGATGGAGCGTCTGCAATTGCTTCCGGTAGGCTGTTCCAGTCATTCACCACTCTAGTGGATAGGGTGACGTCCTTGCGAATTTTGTGTCTTCTTTGCTTAAACAGTTTCCATGTGTGCCCTCGGGTGGAACAGTCAGTGTTGGGCCGGAAGAATTGTTGTAACTCACTTCCAAGTTCCCCTCGGAGGATGCGTCTAGTGTAGATGAGATCACCCCGGCGACGGCGGAGCTCGAGGGAGAACAGATTTAGCTGCTGGAGTCGAATGGGGTACGGGAGATCACGAAGCCCCAGAACAGCTTTCGATGCACGTCTCTGAACCTTTTCCAGCAGAGCGCATTCAAACTTTGAAAGCGGATGACTAGCTGGTAGGCCATATTCTAAGACTGGACGGACGTACGAAGTGAACAACGGTCGAAAAATCTCGGGAGTCATTCGAGCGAATGATCTTAAGGCACCTACCAGTCTCCTTCCAGTGGCCACCTTTAACGTGTCCTGCGTCGTTCTAAGGTCAGAAGTCACGATAACCCCGAGATCTCTCTCGTGGGTGGTATTCCTAAGGAGAAACCCACCAATGTGGTATGCACTGTAGGGTTCGGTGCCACCCATTGGGAGAACAGCGCATTTATCTCGGTTTACTGGCAGTTCCCACTTGATAGACCATTCGTGTAGCTGGTCTAGAGCCCATTGTAATCTGTCCGCATCCTCAATGCTGGATACTGTTGACCAAAGCTTGAGGTCATCGGCGTAGATCAAGCAGTCGGTTTGTAGCGCAGTCGGTAGATCGTTAATGTACAGTTTGAAGAGCTCTGGTCCAAGCACTGATCCTTGGGGAATGCCACTAGTCATAGGCACTGGAGCAGAGAGGGTTTGGTTCACTTGTACGCGCATTGTCCTACCCCTTAAGAAATCGGCAATCCAGGAGAGAAGATTTCCCGTAATGCCAATTCCCTGGAGTTTATGTAGCAGTCGTACGTGTGGAACCTTATCAAAGGCTTTGCTAAAGTCAATGAATATTACGTCAACCTGTTTTCGGGTATCTATCACGGGTTTCACGGGTTTGCGCAGAACGAGTAAGCGTAGCTTTTCGGTGGTTCTGCCTCGGGATCTTACGGCAAGGTTCTGATCTCTTCGGTAGGTACCAGATGTTGTGGGTCTCGACGCAGTAGTGGTGTTCAGCACAAGTATTCCGCGAGTTGACTGTGGGAACGTGGATACCTGGAACAAGAGAGTGGTGTAGGTAAATTCGGCAAAGTTGGATAGAAGCAAAATGATAGAAGCGCCGCGTGTTAGCTTGGCAAATGGCCAGATTTTAGCAACGTGGATGACCAGCGAGGTAACAGCCAAGCGTCTAGGCACTGTTTGAAGGCCTCCGTATTGGGCGCTGAGACAACAACTTCAGGGAGGGCGTTCCAAGCGAAGGCAATACGCACACTGAAACTGTTTCTTCGGCACAGAAGGCGACTGCTACGAGTCATCAGTTTGAGTGAGTGCCCTCGAAGATGATCTGTACGGGCGCGGACCAGCAATCCTGCGTTTGGGTGCCTGTTATTAGTCAGGACGGAATAAGCTAAGATAAGGTCGCCACGAAGCCTGCGATATTTCAACGGGAAGAGGTTAAGGGCCGCCAGACGCTCCTCATACAAGAGGTGGGATAGTCCGTCCACTCTCTTAGTGGCTCTGCGCTGTACAGTTTCCAGCATGGCCTCGTCCTTCTTCAGGTACGGCGGCTGGACAAGTATATTGTACTCCAGCAGCGGACGTACTAAAGTGCTATAGAGACGGACAAATGTCTCTCTAGGGAAAGACCCTAGTGCACGTCCAACGAGGGCCAGGCGAACGCTAGCCTTTCGCGCCAGCGTTCCCATGCGTCATCAAGCTCCAAGGATTGCGGAATACTCCAGTCCATGTTACTTGCAGTCGTTCTTAATCTGGGCTGGTCAGTACGCCAGAAATTTCGACGCAGTGTCCCCTGAACGTGGATTGTGAGGCGTCGTGTCCACGAAAAGGAGACTGTACAGTGATCACTCGTCCCAAGAGGTTGGAGGATCGTTAGATCTGAGACATCAGATGGTGCCGAGGTGAGAACCAGGTCGAGAATGTTTGGTGTCTGACCAGGGACCATTCGCGTTGTGGTCAAGACATGCTGTGTCAGGTTGCACTCGTGAACGGTATCAAGGAGATCAACTTCAAAGGAGTCAGGTGGGAGATCACTGTGAAGTAGGTCCTAGATTACGTTGGGGGCGTTGAAGTCCCCCATAAGAAGACAATTTGTTCCTCTGCTGTTGGTTCGCACGGAACTTAATAAGTGTGAGCCAGGTGCTGCAGGGGCTCTGTAGACCACCCCGACCATCAGCGATTGGTATCCGTCATGAATTCGGCACCAGAGCATTTCCGACATATCATCCTTGTCACAATCGGGTTCGACAATGTGGGCCTTGAGGTAGCTCTTTGTGTAGAGGATTACTCCGCCTCCAGACCTCTCACCAAAGCGATCGCATCGAAGTAGCTGATGTCCTGAAACATGAACCTCCGAGTCAGATATGTCAAATGAAAGCCAGGTTTCGGTGAACGCCATTAGGTCCGGTTGCTGTTCAGAGATAAGGAGTGGAATCTCATCTAGCTTGTTTCTGAGACTGCGCACATTCGCGAGTATTACCCGTAGTCCGTTCTTTATGTTTGAGGTCCTGGAAGAAGGAGGATTGGCCTCCATCGAGCTCTCTGAGTTTTCTTGACTACGCGGAAATCCACTATGTGTAGATCTGTTTCTCCATTTGCGCGTCGAGTTCGCAGCTCGCAGACAGCTTGCCTCATTCGGACTCGGTCCTCCGGGGAGAGGTCTTTCAGAACGTAGAAGGTTTCTCCCTTGAGGCGCGGGGTCCGTCTCAGGATGCGTTGGCATTCTTCTTCGTCCTGACAGACGATTTTCAGAGGACGAAACTTGGCTGGGTCCTCTTGTTTTCTGCCAAGGCGAAAAGCAGAGATTAGGTTTATTCCTTGCTCATGCTCATCAAACAACATGGAGACCATTCGTTTAAGGAAGGCTTGGTCGTCGAGTATCCTTTCAGCTGGAGTCTCTTTGTTGGATTCTGGGACGTTTGTGATTATCAGGCAGCGGTTGCGAACAGGCTGCTTGTCTCGTTCCGGTGATGCTGGCTTTGGTGGACATTTCTTTTCCCTGACAAGTTCCTCAAGCTGCGCTACTCTATTTAAGATGACCTTTAGTTCCACGTTTTTGGTGCTTTATTTTATCTTGGGTCGTGAGGAGATCTTCTTTGAGGCCTTGTTCTCAGCCATGGTTGTCCTTGTTTTTGCTGAGGTGCTAGCGCTCGCGACTGCGGCATAGGACTTGGGCTTATGCATAAGTCCATTCCCGTTCTCACTGGGCAACGGTGTTAAGTCCAACGTGGTGGAGGACGCGCGGCTTCGTTTCCCTTTCGGTGTAGAATACCCAGACGACGGCAGACACACTGCAGAGTTAAGTGTCTCGCTGTCCGAGTTAGAGACGGCTTGCGCGGAAGCAGTATGTACGTTGAAAGGGTTCGTCAGAAGCTGCTTGTCGCTGACCAATGTTAGACACGAATCACAGTGAAACTTGATGGCTTTAGAGGTAGTGCGCTGAAGACATTGGTAAAGATCATTATCAATGTTACAGCAGACTATATGCATCCATCTGTCGCACAGTGCGCATTGGACGGCCTTTGAACGTGTGGTGACACTTTTCCCACAGTCCACGCACATGGATGTCATATCTTCCAAAAGAAAAATTTGACTATAGTCAAATTTCGTCAAAAGTGTCTATTCAAACACTTTTCTTCACGAGAATTTCACCTAAAAGACTCGAAGTATAGCACGTCAGAAAGAGAAGTTACCGCGTGGTACTCACAGTTGGAGTAACCTGTCATAATTTCATGAAATCATTCGTGACATCTTGCCGAACACGAGATATTTGGTATTAATTAGCACCCATAATTTCATTGCAATTCCGGAGAGTGGAATAATTCATAACTAGACCTCTTCTTAAAGTTTCTATCATACTACATTCCATTAATGCAGCGGAAAGTAAATTTTAACTACGTACTACGCGGTTAGTAAACAATTTCGCCCTGGCATCCAGTCTTACCTCTACTTCATGAGCCTCATTGTGTCCCCGCAGGTGATCCGACGTAGCTAGTTCTAGATCACTAATATTAATGCCATTGATGCCCTTCATAATTTTAAACGTTTCTATCAGGTCTCACAGTCTGCATTGTTCTAATGAGTACAAGCTTAAACAATCCAGGCAGTCGACGTACGACTTTTATGCAGTTCCACATGAGGCACTGCCACGATGACTGTGTTAGTTCTGCAGGCCAGCAATTTTATTTTGTATATATTTTTCTTCCTAGGCCATTTCGACATGAACTCCCACGCTTGTGTGACCGGAAAACCAATTTCTTTAGGTGGTATTCATGGTCGCATTTCGGCTACTGGTCGCGTAAGTCATATATTTCAAGTCGCGTTATATATGCTTCACGCAACGTTTTTTCAAACCAGACCCATAACTCTCCATAGCTCAGACCGACGACCCATCCTCTGGATGGGCCTAATCTGAGCTCTTGAGTCTGATGCAGCCAGCTTGCCTAGGTCATGTCGTCCTAAGATGACATGGACAGAAAGTTGTACGATGCACAACCAGTTTAATGGATGTCATTATGTACGACTGTACACCATCATCTTTAAGTAATTGCCCAGCAATACTGATTCTATTACTCTGGAATAACAAGAATATCGACATTCCCATTACACGTTAGCTGAGGGCGAGGAACTAACCTCAGTAATTTGTCTCACTACAACTTGATAAGCTGTGAGAAAAGCGAGCTAAAAAGCACCATGGAATAGAAAAAAACTAAAGAAATATACTGCTACATCATATGAATGAAATGTGAGATCGCGGTTATGGAGGAAAGATAATAGCTCGTAATGTTAACAAGTGCATCCAACCGAACGTGTTCCTTGTCCTCGGGACCCAAACTCGAAATTCGGGAGGCACCAACCGACGCCAGCTTCAATGTGATGATTTTCATTCCTTTTGACCAAGTCATCGTTTGACCTCTCTTCTTCCATCCACGCCCTCGACACACAAAATTCGCACGCCGCTGGAGTCAGTGTGAGGTGAGAGAACAGCCGACTTAATCTGTTGTCTAAATGCCATAGATTAATGCTTTTTGTTAAGGTGCTTCTTATCAAAGCTGCATGACCTTCAGATTGCCGTTGCGTATATGGGGCAACATCGCCTTGATCATCATCATCAACAGCAGTACATCAGCCATTTGAACTGATGCTTCGCTGCCATACAACCATGAGGACCTATGAAATAAAGAATAAGAAGGGGGAGAGAAGGGGGACTTACCTGAAAACCTTAATGCCCTAAGCAAACATTCTGGGTCAAGGCGCCTACACCTTGTGTAGACAACATACCGTCACAAACAGCTGGCTATCGTGCAAAGATAAGGTGGCATCGGCAAGACAGCTTCCTTGCGGCTTTCACTGCCACGCGTCATAATCAGCCATTACCCCGCAGATAACTCAGCACCAAACACACTTTAAACAGGCAATCCGATTAGGAGACGGCAGCAGACGCGCCACTGGTGTCTACTGCGAGCCATGTCCTGTCAAGTCTCGAGCCAAGCACAAGGCGAGTCACGTGGACTCCAACCCGGAAGGCGAGACGGACCAACGGCACCCAGTTTGGTCGTCAGTGACTTCATTTCCCGCTGCCAAGTCAACTTCTCTCCACCTCGAGCCTTGCGCCATCCTACACCCGGTAGACTGAACAAGGCCCTCCTAGGTAAGCGGTGACCAGGTATACGTAGCACGTGCCCGAGCCAACGCAACTTATTCAGTGCTATCTGCTGTTCTAGGGTGCTAGCATGATTATCACTACCTAATACTCGCCTACGCACATCATCGTTGGGGATACGCTGGTGCCATCCGACACCAGCAATGCTACGTAAACAACGATGATCAAAGACTTGAAGGCGCCTCAGATCTTCAGACCGAAGGGGCCAAGTTTCACTACCATAGAGCAGAACGGCCCTCACTGTGGCCTTGTATACACGGCCTTTCAGACGGAGGGAAACTCCCTTCTGTCGCCAAAGATGACGCAGGTTCAAGAAGGCAGCTCTGGCTTTTGCAATGCGTGAGCTCACGTCAGTTTCTATACGCCCATCATTGCTGATGAAGCTGCCAAGATAAGTGAAATGATCAACCACCTCGAGTTCCTCGTTAGCAAGCGTGAAGGGGTCATCAAGTGGCTCGTGGTCCTGCAGCAACACCTTGCACTTTGAAGGTGCGAAGTGCATACCAAATAATGGGACCACCCTGGACAGGCTATTCAGAGTTGATTGTGCCGCCGCAAAATCGTCGAGAAGCAAGACGATATCGTCCGCGTAATCTAGGTCAACTAACCGTTCACCAGGCAGCACTTCAATGCCTACATCGTGAGATTCCGCAAGGGCACACCCCATGATAGAATCCACGACGAAATTGAACAAAAACGGGGAAATCGGACAACCCTGACGAACGCCACTTGTAGTTGAAAAGCTATCCGATAGGACACCATAGACCCTGACGCGGCCTGAAGTGTTCGAGTATAGAGCACGAAGGATGTTCACATATTTCGTGGGAACACCTTTTCGCGCAAGTAATTCGAACAGAATCGATCGATCGACTGAATCGAACGAACTCTTTAAATCGAGGAACACAGCTATTGTCGGTCTGCGGTATGCGTGGCGCTGCTCTAGCACCTGCCGCAAAGTGAATATATGGTCTATACAGCCACGTCCTGGGCGGAAACCGGCCTGCTCTTCCCTAATCCGAGATTCCCGTTCTGCAGTGAGGCGACGAACGAGAATCGAGGCCAGTAATTTTGTCACAACTGGCGTTAGGCTAATACCCCTGTGGTTAGAACAGTCTGTGCGACTGCGCTTCTTGTATATTGCCACTATAATCGATTCGTTCCAATTAGCCGGCACACTTCGTTCCAGATACGTTCGAATAGGAAGGTCAGTGCTTTGCAGAGGACCTCACCTCCATCCTTAAATAGTGCAGGTGGGAGGGAATCTGGGCCAGCGGCACGAAAACGATTGAGGGCTGTGATCGCGTTTCGGACCTCAGCCTCCGACGGAAGCTCTAAACTAACTGTCCATGGCTCGTCCTGCATCACCTGAGTAGGAAGAGGTCCGGGAGCAGGGGGCCAGCTGAACTGATCTTCAAAGTGTTCAGCCCAACGAGCCATACGGCGCTCCTTATTGTGTATCAGCGCACCCGCTCTGTCTCTGATTGTCTCACTGACGCCTGGTTTTCTGGGACCAGTGGTGCGGATTAGCTGAAAGAGCTTGCGGTAATTGCCTACTCTCCTGCCTCCTCCATTTCTTGAGCCCGACTGGTCCACCAGGCTTCCTTGTCAGCACGCAGGCTCTGCTTTAGTTCACGCCTAATAGCCCGTCTGGTCACATTGTGTTCAGAACCAGCCGGGAGGTGTCTTCTAGCTTCCAACAGGTTCACGGACCTCTCGGATATCTAGTGACTGGTGCGGTGACGACTGATAGTGCCACAAGCAGATGCTCCCGCGTCGTGCATGGCGGCCGAGATCCTATTCCACTGAAGTTCAGTGTCATTAGGACAAGACAGTGAGAGTTCGGTATGCAGTGCTTCTTGATAAGCTTGCCTGACCGAGGACTGAGACAATTTCTCCTTTGCTAATCGGAGGGTACGCTTTGTGCGCCTTCCGGTAAAGTTCATGGAGAAACGACAGCGCACCAAGGCATGATCAGAGTCGACACAGGTACTCCAGTACGAGCGGCAATCCATAATTGAACCGCGCCACCTATAACTTACGGCTATGTGGTCAATTTGGGTCCATCGCTGGCCAGCTACAGGTGGACGCCAAGTGGCACTTCGGCGCCCACTGTGTCTAAAAGCAGTGCTACTAAGAAACAACAGGTGCTCCGCACACAGTTGCAGCAGACGCTCGCCGTTGTCAGTCCGTTCGGCATTAAGCCGACTCTTTTGTCGCCATAATATTGTTCACTTTACTTCATGGATAGCTAAGCACCGTACGCAAGTTATGGTGATGGCCCGGCTCGCAGGCCACAGCTAACGCGCTATGAATACTAGCTGCGAGCCACATCCCGTTATGTCGTTAGCTGGTTACGGGGCCGGTTGTGTGAAATCCATCTTATATAGTAAGGGTTACCAATAACCCCCCAGTTTACATGCTACCTGCACCTTCACTGTAAGATTAAGAATTGTCACCCTTGGGGTTTACGCCATTCTGCGTTCGGCAAACGAATAACGTTCTCTGTAAGTGATGAGTAGGCACACACAACACGTGTACAGGTCAGCGCGAATTGTAACAAAGCATCTCCTGGCTTAGCGGAGTAACCTGACCTTCATTGTCTAACACTGTTGTGCGCGGTTCACCATATCAGTCAGTTTGCTGCCAGACGAAACGGGCAACACCCAGCGACTAAGGATGATCAACGGCAGGTCCTTTAGGATCTTCAGACTTAAGCGACCGTCTCACTACCACAGGAAAGATCGGCTGTCACTGGGATCCTGTATACGAAACCCTGACATCAAAGTTACCAGTTCCTTGTGGATATTTGGGCCCTCGTGACACACTAACTGGCTTCAGTAGTCATGCAGCAAGCTAGAAAATCTGTTAGATTATATCATGCTCTTTGTCGTCGCCGATCAGTTTGACAATCGGTTTATATTCCTGCTACATTCATTTGCATCTTTATACCCGTTAGTTGGAGGTGTTAACCACCACAACTATCGTACTGCAACCTCCTACAATATTTAGCACGTCGAACGTGCTTGGTTCGTACCATCGATAAAGCCATGCCAGGTGGAGTGGACTGCGTAGCATGTCGATTGTAGAACGGAAACTTAATGTTTTCTTTATTGTTCAGACCACATCTTTACACCGGATAGATTTCTGACATCTGTGTCGTGAGTTTTCACAATAAAGCACTACCCAAATAAAACGGGTCAACTTTGCATGAGAAAACGTACTCAAAACCCAGGTAGTTCACAATAGATTTTGGCACCAACTACTGTTCGATTAAAGTGCATGGAGAATTTCCGCATGTCGCATAGTACATATCGCAAACTGGAGATTTCCACGTTTTGCCTCAGCTCGTTGTGTGCGGAATGTTGAACAGCGTGTTGATTTCGATTGTTGCATCGAGAAACTCCTTAGCTGAGGCTTTGGATGATCTCCACAGCGCAACCGCACCGTTTGCTGCGTCTTTCCATTCCCCTAACTGGTAACTCCATCGGTGTCGTCTTTTCATAGTTAATGTATTAGGGGAACCTGCACAAATAGAAGCTTTTCGGTGTCAATCTGGCTTCTGGTATCTCCGTTTCGAACAAGTAACTTTTGCAACCGGTCAATGGAATGCGCCCTCAGAATACATATCACAGTCA